CGTTGGCAAGAAGCTTTTTCATGACTTCATTCAGCCCATGACTGTGGTGTAATTACGTCTCCTCGTCCGCGTGTTCTGTTTTATTTTAGTCATTCTTCTGATCCCCGGGATGATCTCTGACATGTTATTTGTTAATGTTAATTGATTTGGGGCTTCCAGTATGGAAGATTTTCATTCAGAAGGAGCTAACTTGAGAAATATTTCTGTGCCTGCACAATTATATCCTGACTGGTTACTGCATCCAAGGCAGGGGGGCAAAGTGCCACAGATCAGGTTGGAGCTGAAGGCTTTGGATGCCCCTTTTCTATTCACCGAATTATACATACTGCTGCTGACTTCTTCTGTGTCCTCTAGTTCAAGTAAAGCTTGTAATCTCGCTTTATGCGTGTTCATTACAGCATACAGGGCGTAATGTCACTCGGAGAATTGTTCCAGGAAACTGTAGGATGGGGACACTTCTCAGCTTAGGTTGGACAAATAGCTACGGCTGCAGTGTGCCTCCTATAAGCAGCTTATTCTAGTGGAAGGAGTACAATTTGAGCATTGTTTTAAAAGGATTATTAAATTATATATTGTTAAAGTACAAGCTGCAGGTGGGGGGTGGTGGCTTTTCGTGGACAAAATGCTCGGTTCATAGTCTGAGATCTTTGGAAAAATCAATAAGGTTTTTGCAGGGGTATATGGATTTACGTTGATTTTCCTTTGTGAACGATTTAAGATGTTTGAACCTTCAAGCAAATGAAAAAGCATATGCAGAATTTATTTTCTTGTGTACCAGGAGTTAATACAGTTGCACTGACTGGATAGTGTAATTTGAGGGACAAATAAAGGGGCAAAGGGATTTCATGCATTCCACTGGTGTATCTGCGGTTGTCCGTGGTTGTCCATGGTCTGGTATACTAATTACCCTCCTTTTCTTTGCCACTCAGTTCTCCAATTGCATCTATTTTCAAGGGCTTTAGCTACTGACTCTTTGGCATGCTCCATTCATTATTTCGGTTTTGTTTCTAATGCTGCAGTCCTTTGAATTTTGGCACTCTTGTGTTTTATCCCAGATCTTGTTACTTGTGTTGATTTTTCTAGGCCTGTACAGTACTCTCGCTTTTCTGTCTGCAAACTGCGAGTTGAGTTTTTCATGCACTTGCTGTAGAGGTTCTCCTTCAGTTTGACCTCTATGGAGTCAGCATTCCTCAAGTCATGCTTCAGATGCACTCATAGATGCATCCCTGGGCATTCATATTTATGCACAGGGTCCAGTCTCACTTCTTTTAATTAAGAAATTATTTAATAAAATAAAAATCAGAAGCCTCTAATTATTCTTGGGAGCCAAAACCCAGGAACTCTGACTGCAGGAATCTCTTGCTTTCAGGAGTAACTTATGGAAGGCACAGGCACTGAGATGGTGAATCAAAAGTCAGCCTTGGTTAAAACTGTAGGTTGTTTGGCCGATTGCTGTGACAGTTGCAGTGCCTGATGGTGTTTTGGTTACCCTCCTGAAGAAAATCTTGCACCTCCAATGTTCCTACAGGGCACTGCTGCTGTCGTACTGTTCAGAATCGTCTTCCTCTAAGAAAAAAACAACAGGAGGTTTACATTTTGCCAATAGATGCACCGGTAAGCATCCAGATTAAAGTACATTTTCTCAGACTTTGGCTGTAGTAGGGACAGGAATGCTGTCTGTCTCCCTTGGTCGTTCATACATTGCTCAAGCATCCTGAAAGTGAAGGCATCCAGGTTTGGTATCCCGGTGCCAGAGATGACCAGATGGCTGCAGGTGACTAAAGAACTGTGGCAGAGGGGTGAGCCAAGCTGTGCGTGGAGTCTGGGTGCGTTCAGACTCTTCTGGGCCTGACTTCCCTCTCGTTAGTGGTGTTACTTAACGAAATCCTGCTGTAACTTGGTTGCTTGCAGTGCTGTAGGTCAGCCTGATTTGCATACGTGGTTATATATGCTGAACTAAAGGTGTCATTCAGGCTTAAGCAGCATAGTGCTCGCAGCTCCTCGTGAAAGAATGTATGAGGTACTGGTGAGTTAGGTAGGCACTGATGTGTGAAAGATGTCTATAGATAGGGACTCGAGAGCAGGTTTAAGATTTCTTTTTTTAGTAGGGAGGCAGCACAGCTTTATGTCAGTCTGCGTGTTTTTTTCTGCTCCTTTAAAACTCAAAAAAAAAAAAAAGGTAACTTTAAGACTGCATAAGGGGGAAGTAGCAGGTAGGCTGCGTTTCCTAAGAATTCACAAACTGGTCATTACTAAACCCACTTTTCTGAACATGAACTGAAATTCGTGAAGACTCGAAGGCTTGGCACGTTCATCCCACCTGCTAGTAAACTATGCTTTCCCTTCAGATACAAGGATTTTGAGAACCTGGCCTTGCATGCCTCCAGGTGTAGAGTGGTGTTACGGTGGAAGTACGAGTAGCTAGAGCATTGCGAGGAAGGTAACCGCGGTCTGTTGCTGCCGTTTCCAGAAGGTGAATGCTTCATGCCATGGGCTCTGAATAATTTCCTAAGTAAAAGGTATGTGTGACCACATTGTGGTTATCCTGCTCTCTGGTTGTATTCACATCTCTGGTGGGTAGCTCACACCCTCGAAGAATCATGTGTCAACATCTCACCTCCGAGGCTTAATTTAGAAGAATAGCAACAGCTTTCGTTTTGCCTCCTGGGAAGGGATAAGGCAGCTTGATTTTAAATGGAGAGCAGATTCCTTGAGTTTTTTTTAATTGTGGTTTAGGTGACAAACTGCTGAGGGGGATGAACAGCTTCCAGAGCACAACTCTGAGTATTGGGAACCTAGTAATGTGAGAGACTTGAAGTAAAACTGCTTTTTCTGCTTCAAATTTGGCAGTGCTTGTGGTTGGTTTAACTATATCTTCTTCTTAATGCTTTTGGTTGGTTGTTTTTTAAACAGAGTATTAAAAAATGCAAAATACTTTGCAAAATGCGGCATTTGCCAGGGCACTTTCTGCTTGTTGAGCTCTAAATTCAGGTTAGACAATTGAATTCTGCTTTGTGATCTCTTCAACAATAAAAAAAGTGCTGTACATTAGTTCAAACTCTCCTGCTGACGAAGGGGCGAATAAGAAGTCCATTCCGTGAAATAATTCCCCGTTTGATCTATGGCAGCGTTCTGTAATTATTTTGATCACTCTGACTTCATTAGAGCTGTATGTCAAGATAAAAACATCTAAGTCGTATTTTTTCCTAGCAACTGCAGTAACGTGAACCTCATGCATGTGCTTAGGATACGAGAGCGGCGTGCGCTGTGTTTTGCTGCCTAGTTCCACTTTGCACGGGCATCGTCATTTCGTGCTCCCTTGAGAAGAGCCAGAACCAAAGAGCAGGGGCTGGCGTGAGAGGAAGCAGAGGTGTGCTGCTGCTGACATCTCTCCCCATGCAGCTGAAATATGCGTGGCTTTTGTTTTTGTTAGCAAAGCATGTGAGCAAAAGCGTATAACCAGCGCGTGTGCCTCGCATTTGGATCCCTGTCGTGGTGAGATCAAATATAAACACTTCTTGCCTGTTTATTTTAACACGTACAGATGTTTCAAAAAGGGTGATAGTGGGTTGGAGGAGACATGCTGGAAGGCTTTATTGCGTACACGGTTTCATTGCTAGCTGGGGTTGTGCTGGAATAACATGCGAGCAAAAAGTGATGTTATCACTTGGTGAGCTGATCTAACATATTCCACATAGATGGTAAAACCTCCTAAAATCCCTAGTAAACCAACTTCTTTCCTAGTACAGCAGCTTAGCTAGGGCCTCGGGTAAAATCTTATTTTGAGATTCATCTCGGTTGCTTTTTGTCTGCCGTCTTCCAATAGAAAAGCTTGTGTTATTCCCTTACGTTGTATTGTATAACAGTGATTTGCACATTCTTTGGTGCCTGCTGAATTTGCAAGTATGTAAAATGTGCGACCTATTTTGTGTGATTCTTTTTTTTTTTTTTTAATAATGAATGCTCAAATAAACTGATGTGGATTAGAAGGGTGGGTTGGATGGGTAGGGTGTGAGAGCCATGAGGATAAACCAGTCAGTTTGCAAATGTAATTCTTCATTTCTTAAGCATGAATATTTGCTGCATCACATCCCAGTGATTTGAGGTGGAGGAGGATTGGGCGTGCAATATATTGGGCTGGCTTGAAAAAAAGAAAGCAGCATGAATTTACGTGTGTGATTTTTATTTCTAAACAGGTTTCTTTAAACTTGTCAGGGGTAGTTGTCTTTCGCTGAAGCATGAATACATTAAGGTTTTAAGTAAATCTGCAGCACAGACATCTGAGAAGCTTGCTGTGTAATTTAACTGAAAATCTAAGGATGAGCTTTCACAAGATGGCTGAGCCATGCTAATGGCTTGCTGCTGCCTAAAGGGACAGCTGCTCTGTTCCTTCTGTGTCTTGCTCCTAGTTATCCAGTCTTGTCACTTTTTTTATGCAGGCTCTGGCATTCATCTGGACTCTCCAGATCACTTTACCTGTTTAATAAACAAACAAATCTCCTCTCCCAAAGGAAAACCTAATCATTTTCCTTTTGTTTACCCATCACTAACATAAAAACAGAACATGAGCAGTACTTCATGGCCAGGCAGTAGGGGTCTAGGAAATGTCACTGGCCTGGAAACATTGAACTCTTTCCTTGGCCCAGTAATTGCAGAGAACATTACCATTCAGATGTGTGCCAATCTCATTTTATATCAAACTCCTTTTATATATACTGATACCAGAGACTTTTATCAAAACAATGATAGTGGAATAAAGTTCTTTAAGTATAATAGCTGGAAATACTTTAAAAAAATAAAACACATGAAAAGTACAAAAGCTAGTAGCAATGTCCTTGTTTAAATGAGATGAAAGCAATGCAAATTTGAATTGAGAGAAAATTAGGCTTTGTATTTGTCATTTTAGCATTACTTGCACTTTCTGTTACTTAATAGCTTTCATTAGCGTATTTACTACTTATGTTCAATAATATCTTAATCCTTTTTTTCTTTCTTTTCAGAACTGAAGGAAAGTCATCATGGGAGCATTTTTAGACAAGCCAAAGATGGAGAAGCATAATGCCCAAGGGCAAGGGAATGGGCTTCGTTACGGTCTGAGTAGTATGCAAGGCTGGCGAGTTGAAATGGAGGATGCACATACAGCTGTGATTGGTTTGCCAAATGGACTTGATGGATGGTCATTTTTTGCTGTATATGACGGGCACGCTGGATCCCAGGTTGCCAAGTACTGCTGTGAGCATTTATTAGATCACATCACAAGCAACCAGGATTTTAAAGGGCCAGATGGGCCCCCATCTGTGGAAAGTGTAAAGAGCGGCATCAGAACAGGTTTTCTGCAAATTGATGAACACATGAGAGTCATCTCCGAGAAGAAACATGGCGCAGACAGAAGTGGGTCAACAGCTGTGGGTGTCATGATTTCTCCCCAACACACATACTTCATCAACTGTGGAGACTCGAGAGGTTTACTTTGTAGAAACAGGAAGGTTCACTTCTTCACACAGGATCACAAACCGAGTAATCCACTGGAGAAAGAGCGTATACAGAACGCAGGTGGCTCTGTAATGATTCAGCGCGTGAATGGTTCCCTCGCTGTTTCAAGGGCACTTGGAGACTTTGATTACAAATGTGTCCATGGGAAAGGTCCTACCGAACAGCTAGTCTCACCCGAGCCTGAAGTTTATGAAATTGAGAGATCAGAAGAAGATGATCAATTCATCATACTGGCTTGCGATGGTATCTGGGATGTTATGGGAAATGAAGAGCTGTGTGACTTTGTAAGATCCAGACTTGAAGTCACTGATGACCTTGAGAAAGTTTGCAATGAGATAGTTGACACCTGCTTGTACAAGGTAGCAAGACTTGAGAGGAAAAGTTTGTGTTTCCACTATTAGATGTTTATGAATGAGTTAAGAATAATAAGTTTTGATTTCAGTTGATAAGTATGTTCTATGTTAATATGACCTTGAATCCAATTAAATTCCCATAAAAATGGTGATAGAGAGAAAACAAGCATGCAACAGTAGGGGCATCTTTGATGAAGAGTTGAAAATCATGTACAGATATGTTGTGATACCTGGGAAACTAGAAGCTAATGGGAGCATATGGGCAAGCCAAGGACAATAACTGTCCTTTTCTATTTCACAACATACCTTACAAAACCTTAACTCTTTCATCAGACTGGAAGATATTCTTCCTGCTTTTTCCTTCCTCTCGTAACTTTACTGCCGTAATTACATCAAGTTAAATGCAGAGTGATTGAACCCTGACTTATTTTAAAATTTTCTCTCAACTATATGAAGATCTGACTACTTAAGTCATCTTTTGTTCTGGTTTAATTGCTGTACTTCTCATTCAGTGTTGTGTCATACAGCTGTGAAGCTAATGCAGAAAAAGATAGGACTGTTTTGTTTAACAAATCTATGCAATTTTGTGTACAATGACTTCCACCTTGTGTAGGATGGTGCAGTTAAGAGATTTGAAATATTTAGTTTCATGGCTTATTACTTAATTTTCCAAAGGCACGCTGTAAGTCATAATGCAAAATGCCCAACATTTTTGATACTAAAGAGGCAAGAGAGCATCTCAGCTCTTGCCACGTGGCTACAAAGGTCATTGTTTCCCATTTGGAAAAAAGGAATCACTTTCCAACACTTTGGAAGATTAATAATGCATATAGTTTTGTTTACAACTTTGTCTGGTAGCCTTGAAAACAAGGGAATGAACACTGGCTCGTGGATGCTGTAACCTTTGCAGTAGCCAGTTCTCAGCACCTCCTCATACACCCATATATACTTTTTAAAACATTTCTGCTTGTTCTTGATCTTATTTGCATTTAATTTGCATTAACTGCTAAGCGTATAGATGTGTGTTTGTAGACAAGAGCTCAGGGATACTGAAAGCAAACTAAACGGTTACTTTTGATAAGCAGAAGGTGTCTGTATTCTAATATACTTGAGTATTAGAGTTGCATTTAATTTTTAAACATTTCCATTTCAAAGAATGTTTTCGTAAAGGCCAGAGCCCTTTCCAGCTGGTCTTTTAATAGATCCTCTAACCTGTAATTCGTCTTTTTAGAAAAGGGGAAAAAAAAACAAATCAATAGCAGTGGTTTTGATTTGTTTTTGGAACAACTGTCTGAATTCAATTTATTATGTACTGTTTTTAAGCAGTACAGGGTTTGTTTACTGATTTAATATTTCACCTGTTTTCTCAGAATGATCGGATGGTACTTAAAACAAGAGGGAACACAGCTTTGTAATTGAACATCACTTATTAATAACATCATTTTTTAAAAGACAATGGGCTGTCTAATTGGCTCCAGATAGTCTTCAGACCATAAAAGTGGAAAAAAAAACCAAAATGACTTAAAAGGTAGTTTTTACTGAACAAACTACAAAAAGTAGATTTCTGGAATTCTGGAAGGAAAAAAAAATTAGGTTGATGATGATAATCTGTGGGAGCAAAAGTTGTATTCTAGTACCATGATTGGTGAATTCTTGTTTGTAAAATGCTTTGATGTGGATTTAGTCTGGTATGTATGCATTCTCAAATCGTTTTTTCTTTTCCACCAGGGAAGTCGAGACAACATGAGTGTGATATTGATCTGTTTTCCGAATGCACCAAAGGTATCACCAGAGGCGGTGAAAAGAGAGGCAGAGTTGGACAAGTACCTGGAAAGCAGAGTAGAAGGTGGATCATTTAAAAAAAAATAAGTAACTTTGTTTTTAAACAGACCCCCTGACCCCCTTCCCTTTCCAACAACTAATTGTATACAGGATTTTTAATAGACTTTCAAGTGCCATTGGCCATCTAGTGTACATCTCTGAAAAAGGCACTCTTACAGTGCTGCTGTGTGTCCTGACAAAATTCTGCTATGAAAGTGCAGCAGACTGTAGCTCTGAAAATTGGTCAGGATGGCAGAGAGGATTCATTTATACTCAGTGTTCTTCGTGAGTCCATTGACAGCACTAACTTCAGCCCAGTCAGTCCCTGTGCCTGTTATATGGAGTTAAATAAAATAGTCAGAATATCTTGTACGGTATCTACAAAGGTGGTAATTTGAGTGCCACTTTTCTATGTAGCTCTGTCTGCAAATTAGCCAGAAAAATATTTTATTACACAATTGTGGTAGGGTTACATCTTAATTACTGTCATCTTAAAGGCACCTGGTAACATGTATACTTACTTGAAAGTATGTCAGAAATTTGTTAAAGCTAATCTTTAAGCATTCCTGATGAGCACAATCTGGGAGCACATCTTTGATAATAACTTCAAAATTTTGTCTAAATACGTATTTCTGGAGTTCTTAAACTTTTAGCTGAAACTGCAAATCTTAGGTGTTTTGGCTCACCTAACTAAAAATGGCATTTAAAATCAGTTTCACTTAAGAGATTTCTCGTTAAAACTGGATTTACAGTGCCTTTTGATATTTAAAGATGATCACAGCTTGGATTTTGTTTCTGAAACGTAAGACACAACCGTATGCATTGTTTGCATAGGTTAAGTCTATTTTTGAAGTGGACTCCTAGACCTATATGTTACCAGTCTAGTTATGTACATCTACTGCAAGAATCCTTAACAGCACATGTGGCACGAAACACAGTACTTAGCAACATGGTATCAGTGATTAGTATACCACAGGAATATATTGTGCACTTTTTTCCTCCTTAACTTGTGTGAAGGTAACGCGAAGTATAACTTCAGAAGTTTCACAGATGACTTGTTTATGTGGGAATTCTGGGTTCAGACAAATTAACGTGTGGTTTAAAGCACTTGCTACCTTGTAGGTGCTCCTTCAGGAAGTACTGCTTTTTTTGAGGGCCTTGTTCCTGAATTTTGGCAAACTACAGCTGTTAATGCCCCCAAATAAATGTCCACACAGAACGTTTCTGTGTTTTATATAACTTCTCCCTAACAGAAGAAGTTGGTGCACTACAGTGTGAATCTTTTTGACAGCGTAGCAGGAGTATCCACACGTACAGTAGCACTACATGAGTTGAGTGTCAGATGGCTTTCTCCATTTCAGAGCAGTGAACAGCAGACATTTGAAGAGCTCACTATATAGACCCACTCACAGAACTGGTGAAGAGCAAGTATGCTGTAAATTCACACGTTAATTTATAGCATGCTAACTCTCCTAGTTACCTTACCTCATTACCTTCATACCTTAGCTATTTTGTCTTAATTCAGACAAACCCATGACATGGAGTATGAAGATAGCTTCAAGTTTAGGCTGCATTTCAGCTGACCCCATTGTACTCTTCAGAATATTAACAGTGGGGAAAGTTAACACCTTTGTACAGACTCCTCAGTAAATGAAGAACCTAACACTGGAACTGCATGTGATTATGGTACATACAATGAAATTGGTTGCCAATTCTTTCCATTTATACAAATATAACATTTCAGGAATGAGTGAAGTGTCATACTTGAATAGAGGCAGAAGGATTCTGTATGTAGTTATAAAGCACTTTAATACTAATTTAATGATGTGTTATCTGAACTACTTGAGGAAATGCATTGTACTTCCCCTCAAGGGACTTTACTTCTTTTTAGAGTTGTCCTCAATCTTTTGTCTATTGTTGCACAAAGATATTTAAATTAATGAACATGTAGTAAACACTACTCAACCCCACAGTGATTTATATCAGCTGTAGGCAGAACTTGTCATTTTAGCTCTTACATGTGAGGGAAGTTGAGAGGCTGAAATAAAGCAGAACTTCAAGTATAGGTGTTGATTAATTTTGTTATGTTTAACTTGATAATTCTTGTGCAATTATATTGTTTCTTGGTGGAAATTGATTATGTAGAATTGGCTAGTAAGGTAAGACTGTCACAGCCTCTGAAGTTTTCAACACTACAGTAAATATTCTTCCTCTTAACATAAGCACTGCCACACTTAAAGCATCTTGACTTTAAAAGCCTAACCTGTAGCTGAAGGATCTAGGAAATATAAAGACTACTTTTAGAATTCCCTTACTAATTTGCAATATCAAAGTTCAAATTCATTAAAGCAGAAACCTGGTGAAAAATGCATATAATGTGTTCTGCACTTTGGTACTCGGTGTAGACCTAACAGGTAATGAGATTTGATACTTACTAATGTGCATTTTTCCTGGTTGTGCTTTTATTCCCTTGGCCTAGAACATATCTTTATACTGTGAAGAAGTAGTGCAAGTTATAAGACTGAACAGGGCTTATTACTGATGGGCCTCTTGAACAAGAGGGTGTTGTAACTAGATGATCTTTGAGGTGCATTCCAGCCCAAACCATTCTTAGAATAAGGAGAGTTGGTTCCGTTTTTAAAAAAATAAGAGAGCTTCCTACTCACTGTGTCACCTTGGACTCTCCTTTTATCAATTCTTGATGTGTTTGTGGTCCAGATTCATAGCTGCAACAGATAATAATGGAAGAAGAAGCAAGTGTGGAGAAGCATCGTTGTGCCATTACTTGCAATAAATCAGTGTTGCTCCTAAAATGTCATGTAAACTTCCTGGTAGCTTATATCCTAATTAGTCATTCCAAAATGAATTGCTATTATTTGCACTAATATGTGAGTTATTGACGTGTTGATTCTAAAAAGACACTTGTCTAAGGTTCTTTTTCTGTTCTAAGTTCACTACATATAAGCATACAGTAATAGATAGTCCTTGCAATATTTATATCTATGTAGAGATAAATAATTTTCAGTTAGCTGTTATGTGTGCCCTCCCATATTTACACAACATTGAAACTTTGGCTTTTTCTTAAACTTTGTGTGGAATTCTAATTCAGAATATGAAGTAAGCAGATATGTTTAAAATCCTTTACTTTAGGGTTGTAAGTACATTTTTCCAGTACATGATGCCATGGAAATGTGTAGAAGGTTTAAAAGTAAATTGAAGAGGGAGGGGGGCTTGGAAGATGTACTGAAAGAAGGTATTCCAATAAATTAAACACAGCTAGCAGACCGACTCCATTTGTTGTGTCATCAGTGTTCATTCAGTCTGTATCTTTAGTTTTCTCAAAATATAAATGTATTCATTTAGTGGAGACTGTATGTTAAATGTACTGCAGTTACAGGTTGTGAAACTGTGTAGTATAGGTAAAATATAAATTCCTTATTTTTGTACAGCAGAACTCTAGCTCTAGCACAATGTAGAATATACTAGATGTTCAAAATTGCACAATAAAGGAACTTGGCAAACCAAATCTGAGATCTTGCTTCTTATTCAGATTTATGAGTGTTAGATTATTTGCTAAATGTTAGATGGTAAAATGAATTTTGGCCTTAGATTTTTGAGGGAACTGCAAGTTTTTAAGGTACCGATGGTGTGTGGTGTCAAACGTTTTAAATGTAGGTTTTGAATTGACCAGGGTAAAGCTTTGTGTTGCAGTCTGACACTGTTTGAAGACTAGACAGTGTTTTCAGTGTACATTGCAAATAATTTACACAGCCTGACTGCAAATAGACCTGATTGGTTTTGTAAATACACATAGCCATGAAAAACAATTGCATGCACAATTTTTTTTTATTATTATTATTATTTTTTTTTTACTAAGGAGGACTGGATATGTGCTCGTTTTAAAAGCTTCAATGTGCCATACCTCACTAATCTATAAAATGGAAACCTGGTATGCTATCTGGAATTACTGTTTAGGGTAAAAGCTAAATGCTAAATTGTTTATTTCAAAATGGTACTGGTGAATTCCAACTACTCTTCAAGTTGTGTAAATACTTTACGAAGTGAAGAATAGTGTGTGTGTATATACGCATGTGTATATATGCACAGACATGCTCATTGTATGTGGGCTGCAGTATTCTCTTGAAGATCAACAGTGCCAAGTCTTAATTCCTCTCATTTCTGAGCTCATGGTTACAGAAGAACTGATGAGATGCATTTTTAAAAAGTTACGTGTTTAAATTTCATAAAATCTTTCCAGGAGTGGTACAATGAAATCTCTTGAGAGTTCAGTAAGCACACAATTTTATTTGCTTTAAAAACAAAAAAAAACAGGTCTCAATAAAATTAAAGAACTAATTCCCTAACAAATATGACTGTGGCTGCAGTAAAATGTCTCTTCAGCCAGAAGTTGGAGTGGATCAGCTTTAAATAACTGCCCAATAGTCACACATTCCCCAAGCTGAGTGAATGATGGAGCTGTCTCTTAACTCTGATGTCCCTGGCTTTTAATTTTTACATAATAGTTCCTAATGTTTGCATGTTGCGGTCATGTGGTAAGGTACAAATGCTGGCTTATACACATCCAGTCACAGGAGTTATTTTTCATGTGTATAAACTTTTGTTTCTTGAAAGTACTGTGCTTTGTATGATGGCAATAATCTTTCACCTTCTATTGCAGTGATAAAGCTGACGTTAAGATTTGCCTCATGCCCATTGCATTTTGTTGGGAAGATAAAATAATGATACAGTAGGAAAGCCATGAAAGAATTTGTTTCCACTTGTATTATGTAGCTGTGTACTTCTAAAACCATTATGCATGTTAACAGTTAGCAGGATACTTGTGTCAAAACCATCGCAGGTTCTTTTTCTGACTGAACCAAAGTTAACGTTTACCATGTTGAGTCTGGTCTGTCATTGATTTCTTATATTAACAGACGTTAAGCTGCCTTTTTATAAAACTGAGTGTTTCAATCTTTGTAAGTTAAATTTGGACTGCACTTACAAAAAAAGTACTTCTGATTCCCAGAGATCATAAAGAAGCAGGGTGAAGGAGTACCAGACTTAGTCCATGTGATGCGTACGTTAGCAACTGAGAGCATCCCAAACCTCCCGCCAGGGGGTGAATTGGCAAGCAAGTGAGTTCACATCAATGTAAATGTGTTGTTTTTTATTTTATTTTATTTAAATTTGAACTTAAGGCCACTCTTAAAAGCGGGGGGAGGGAAGAAAAGATACAGTACAAAAGATGATCTGTTCTCCAATTCTGATTTTGAATTGCTCTGAATGAGAAGGGACAGTACAAAACAGAGTTAACTTGTTGATCACTACTAAAATTAAAAGCCAAAACGTAGTTTGGGGGAGGTTGTTTTTTTAAGGGTGGCCTGAGTGTCTCTTTTTTGTAATTAACTGGGTTATCTGGGTGGGAGGTTGTGTCTGAAGATGAAAAAATAATGCACTGATTGTAGTAGCTACTTGGAGATGTGGTTCTGCACTTTAGGAAGATGTGCATATGATGTTTTGCTTGGCAGTTTTTCTTGTCTGCAGCTAAAGCACTATTGTCAATGCTTGAAAGTTTGCTTATGCATCTCTCTGCTTGTGACAAATATGAAAACTCTACAGAAGTCTATCAAAGTTAAGTAGAATGTTATATTTAAAATTTTAAATAGGCTGGGTTTGTCCTTGCGTTCAGGGCTGGTGCTGTGTCTCATAAATAGATGTTCAGCACTTAAGGGAGGGATGTACTTAGCTCTTTTGCACACCAAGTGCCTTTTGGTTCAAAAGATTATTCATGAACCTGTACCGTGCAGATTGAGCACATGTGCTGTGAACAGTCTATTTTTAATGCTTCAGAGTATAATTTTATATTATTGCACCAAAACATGGTCTGTGGGCACATAAGTGAGTAAATGATGACTGAGTTGTAAGGATGATTTCTACAAAATTGTTCTTATATGAACCAGTAAAAGAGATTGCTGTTTTATATATAATAGTAGCATCTATTTAGGATGTGTTGCAGTCATCTTGAAGTATCGATGAGTCAGTTATTCATGAAAGATGGCACACAAATTGCTTATCTTGAGCTCCTTTGGCTAGCTCTAGCATCATGGTTGCGGGGAAGTGAGGAGGTCACCGAAGCAATTGACTTCTGTGTGATTATGTGCTTTAGTGATGCTAGCTTGAATAGAGATTGACAAAAGTATGGATTTAATTGAATGTTAGCATAACTCAAAGCAGTAATGACAATTTGGAAGGAAAACAATGCTTTTCAAAAACCTGGCTTTATTTAGGATCAAAGATACCTGTTGCTGAAAGATGAGAACAGCTTTCCTGTTCATACGCGCGATGTACTTTGTGTATAATTGCTTGTTTTATTGCTTTAAATTCAACTTCTTCTTCCGTGCTATATAATCATTCACTAGATTCGCTGTGATGTTTATACTGCTGCCTGATAGTTCTTGACTTTTCATCATTGCAGGATGATTATAAAGCCTGTCATCTGCTTTTTTCTTCTAAACCACTCCTTTGTGATTCCTCTGCATGTATTCATGAGCAGTTTAGAAGTGTTTTTGAGGTTTGTTTTCTATCACAGTTGTAGTTTGCTGCTTTGTCATACTTGGTTCTGCAGATAGGCTATCTGAAGAAAATTGCTTTTGAAGTCCTGTCTGTGGCTCTTCCCTTTTGCTCCCTTCTTTCTTCCCGGTTCCCCCTCCAAAATTTATTCCTTATGTGCTGGGCAAGGCACAGGCTTCCTCTTCCTTCAGCCTCCCTTATTTTTTTGTGTATCAGTTTTCAAGAAAACATCTTGAAACCCTCTGGAGGCATCATAATATCTGAAGGTGCTACTGCAGTATTCATTGGGCACACAAACGCCGTGGCATTCAACTTCTATCACGTACTCAGATGCCCGCTTCCAAAGCCTCAGAGACATGCCACCAAGCAGCACTGCGGCCTCATCTGAATGTCTGTGCTCTTCTTGTTCTGAATGCAGAGTGCTATCCAGCCTTGTTTTTCATAAGGGTTTAAAGGATTATCTTAGCTATGTTTAGTGACACTCAGCAGTAACTAGCAGTAAACTTGATTCTGGGAATTTGAAACCTTTAAAAGTTTGCATTTGAAATTGCAGTTTTGCTTGGAGACTTTGACTTAAAAAGACAGAGCCTTAAAATCTTGTTGTTTCTTGAATTTCTTGTTCCCTCTAGGCGGAGTGTGATTGAAGCTGTTTATAACAGACTGAACCCCTACAGGAATGATGATACTGTAAGTATCTTTTCCCCTGCATTTTTTCCTCTCATCCCAGTAATTTCAGCTGCTTTTTGTTGCTTTATTTATTTTAAGTTTGCCATTTCTTGGTTAGAAGACCCCTTCCCCAAAAAAGTGATAACCTTCTTGTGGTCTTTCTCTTCGGGGTTTGTTTTAGGGTTGTTTTCTGATGCCTTCTGCTGATGGTAGTCTCAGAACTCCAGCCTCATTGACGTGCTGGTTTTCTGGCATATTGTGATTTGAATCCTGCCTGGATTTATAACTCTCAGTTCTAAGGATATATGCATTTTCCAAATGCTGTGGGAAGCACTCTCTTAATAAGACTTATAGTGAGCGTATGGTTTAGGTTCTTGTATGTCAGTGATCAGGTAGGAACCAATGTCAGGGTGATGGAGGGAACAACTCTAAATATGAACAGTGGTCTCAGTTGCATTTAGATTATTGGGAATAGTGTTCAGTCACTGAAGGTGCTTTACTTCATAAAGTAGTATTTACTTCATGATTTACATTTCAGTTAAAATTCCTTATGTGCTTAGATGTGACATAAAGTGAAATGCCTCCAAACACGAAGCTGTACATTGGCTTTACAGCTGAGTGCTTCTGTTTGGCCATTGTCACAGTATCTTTAGCATAACAGTTCCTTAATACTGGCTGAAGGAGGATGCTTTAGTTTCAAAATACATCCTGTAGTAAGCTACTGCTCTATGAATGTACAGTAAACTTTGTTTTGTGATGATGTTGTCAAGTCGGATTCAGAAATTTGCATAGTGAATAGCTGGCATGCAGCTCCTGCATTTTTACTCACTGCTGCTTTTATTCCTCATCCTTGCAATTGGAACAAACATAGCCATTTTAGTCTTTCGTATAATGGTTCTCCTTTGCTACTTCTGGTCTTGAAGGAAAATCTGGAGGTGGTACTCTTGCAAAGAGTAATTTTAGTGATCTTGGCTTTTTTTTACTACACCTCCATGCCAACTGTTCTTTTGGGTTTGTAATGAATTCTGTGTGCAAGTTTGAATGAAGGGTGCAGAAAGTTAATGCTAAAAAATTGTCATATGTGGCATTGCTAGAGACTTAATTAGCCTCTTTCCTTTGAAAGGAATCAGTAAGGCAGTGCTTCCAAAGAAGAGTAATATTTCTACCTCCTGCAGTCTCACTAACGACAGGGAAGTGTAGTTATGGAAGCACCAGCAGAGGCTGTTGTTAAAGCCCATCATGTCTCTTAGTTATTAGGGGAAGGTAGCTTGTCATGTTGGAACAACCAAAGATTGCTGTACATAGCAGCTACATAGCAGCTTGCTCTGCTGCCTGTGCTGCTGACTTAACTTCTGCTTCAGCTACTGAGCTGTGGTCACACTTCGTAGCTGTGGTGTTAACGTACGTACCCGACGTGAAATGAGGCTGTTAGATTGTTCTGTATTCAGCTTTATATAACCGAGAGAACAGGAAATGGACACAAAGGTAAATGGAATAAAAACCACTAGGACTTAACTATTTGATTTGTACTAAGATTTTTTTTTTTTAACTGATAGCAGGAATCAGTTAAACAGTTTTCACTGTGACTTCATTTTTCAGCTATATAAGCTCCAGTATTGTCTTTGGGCCTAATAGGCCAAATTTTAGGGATACTCAGATATTGGATGCATGGATGTAATGCCATGCTGTGTAGCCATACAGTTACGACTTAGACATGTCTCTGTTTTAAGTTCTATGTTAGGGAATTTTTATGTGAGTTCCTTCTTACAGGTTTTATTACAATTGAAAGTCAGGCTTTCCTGCAGTTACCAAAACTACACTTCTGTATTTAACCTTAAATTATAAGTGGCAAAATTCATCTGAATTAATATAAGGTGTCAGTTGATGACTGTCTTCTGATGCAGTGAGGAAGGACTGAATTCATAAAAGATGGTAATGGTAATAAGAAAATATATGGGGCACATCCTGATCTTTTGACACACCTGTATAATAAGTATATTCCTTTTGTGTTATTACTTCGAACTGTTCTGGGAGTGCTTTTGAGTATTGTTCCTGGGATGTTGTTATGACAATTGGTAAGCATCTTAGAAAATACTGTGGTCAGATTTTGAAACATCTTTGTACCTTAGTGCTTCATTAATTAAATGTATGATTTCTGTAGATGTTTGTGAATGTTATTTCTGCTGTTTCTGAAAGGGGAGAGAAAACAAGCTCCTAAAATGATTTAAGTTTTTTTTTCCCTTTTCAGTCTGGATTATCCAGAAACTGCTGTAACTATGGGCACTCCAGACTTTAAAGGGTTCCTTCTTTTTTCTTTAAGGATTCTGCCTCAACTGATGATATGTGGTAAAACTGCTCATCTAGCTGTGGAGTTCATGTTTCATCCTTCAAATGAAAGTGCAGCCCAACCTCAGTGACCCTTCTTAACATCCATCCTCAATATTAATTAAAGAAGGGAATATGATGTGTTGGTGAGAATGACTACAGCAGAAAACTACAGCAGTACGACATCTAGCCCAGGAACTGATCTTTTTTGTAAAACAGACTTCTGTAAACGTGATTTCAAACCATAATTCATGTTGTAAATCAGACTCCAGCAATTTATGTTGTATGATTTTGTTTTTGTAAAGTGCAATTGTCTTTGTACAAAATGCTCATATTTAATTATGAATTGCTTTAAATCACTATAAAGGTTAGAAGAAATGTTTGGCTTGTGTGATGCAACAATATATATATCCCTTTAAATTCATGTTGTGGTTTTGGATTGCAAGGAGCAGCAGCCTAGCCAGCTAGGTGCTCAAGAGGTGCACAAAACTGTAAAGACAACTTCTCGTTTTATATGAAAGCTGAACTCGTGGGCAACTTGCCAGGAATCAGTGTGTGAATTTGCTCGGCAAAGGACGAACAGCGAAGAGTAGTGCACTTTCTTCAACAAACGTATCACGTTTTCTTGGAGGCACTCCTGCTCTCACATTGAGTTAAAGGGAGTTCCGATTTTGACTTCAGTGGGAGTTGAATCATGCCCTATTAATAGTATCGTGTTCATACGCGTATGAACCTTGGGATTAGAATGCCTTGATTCTTTGCACCTCTTTTTTCATTAACCCTTACCTGAAACTACTAATCACTGAGCACGAACAGGCAGCTTTCTACATTCAGTAGGAGTCTGCAGCATTTTTACAATACTGATTGGCTGGGTCTGCTGCTGTTCCAAGTAAAATACTCTGAATTCCATTTTATCAATAAAGCTTGGTTTAACAAACAAGAAATTTATCCATAAATGTGTAATTCCTTTTTTCCTGCCTTTTGAAATGTCAGTGCCATTGTAAATGATATTTTACATGTGGAAGAATATTTTTATTAATTGGTAGCCCATTTTTAAAATGGGAAGAATTTTAATTACTGCCCAAGACATAGCCATATGCTAGAGGATGAAGTGGGATTAATGTTACCCTATTTTTTACGAGTGTGGGTTTTTTTCAGGCTTTTTTTCTCCCCACTGAGGATGTGCATTGGTTTGAATTTGCCTACTGTTTGATAAAAATACATTTGTCAAAGCCTGACAATCTTTAACGTTTTATGGTGTGTGTTTTTAATTGACCCACTTACTTAGAATGAGAGACTAGTGGTTAAACAGTACTTGTGATTTGAGATGTAGCATGTTGACAATATTTAACTGTTCGTTGTTTAAAATTCTAATTTAAAATTTTATAAGATAATAAACTAATTTGATTTAAGCCTAGCTTTCTCCCATTGAACATGCAAAATTAAGTTTTCAAGTCAGTCGTGTTTGCAAAACTGCTGTTTTGTGCACCTTGTATTGTCTTTTTGGTTGAGAATATTGTATTTAATATGTAGTTTACTCATTTAGTAGGCAGATTCCCCAAAAGGAAAATCAGTAAAACAAGTAGATTGTAACATTTACTGCGGTTAAACAGAATCAAGACGTGGTGTATAATTACTTTTTGATAGGAAAATGTAGTTCAATGCATTTTGCTATATTTGTCTTTCCCTAACTTTGAAATATACATATTTGTATATATAGCCTTAAAACTAATGCAGAGTTAGGGAACACTGAACAGTGAAAAAGTAACTTATAGTGTCTTGGAACTAAGTATAGTATATACCAGCAAACTTTTCTTTTATCCCTCTTGTCTATGTGGGGTGCTTAAAACGTAACTTCATTGTATTCAGTTTGTAATCTGTTCAAGCATGAATGAAGAAAACATAAGCACTATTTGTATTTATAAATTTATAGCAATTTTTGCTTAAAGAACCAGTTCCTTACCTACCTATGAATAAATGCTTAAAATGTCTAATTTTGTTGTAGAGTGCAAAACTATAATAATGTTAAGTTATAGCTTCACAGGCACCTAATTAACAAGCGTATTTAATACATGGCGTATTAGTGCAAAAAGCTAAACTCAGTTTAGGACTAGGCGGATAAAGTTCTGTCCTTTTTCGTAGAGACTAAAGTTTAGTTTTGGAAACTGCAAAACGTTGAACTGGACTGTGGAAACTTTGAGTTTAAAACTTTGAGAATCAGAAGCAAAACTGTGGTGTGAAAAGCCATACTTCGAACCATAATCACTTAAAGTGTCTCAGTGACAAATGATGTATTTGAAGCCTCTTCCTATGAGGTCTCCTAAAGGTTAGGAAGAAAATAATTCTGCTATTGCTGCAGGTGCTGTAACGAGGTTTGAGGGTAGCAGAAGAAAGCCCGTTTCAGGCCTTTCTCCCTACCACCTACGTGCAGCATTTTGATGAGGTCAGAGCACTGAATCTATGATGAATGCACAAACACTGCCATTTTAGATACAGAGTTTGATTATGAAATCTTAAATATATAAAGCATCCTAGAAAAGAGGCAAGCTGTACTTTTCACTGCTCTGAAAAGAAAAAGAAAAAGGCACTTTTGCACCTTTGTGCATCTCCTTCTTGCACCAGAAACTTTTTTGTTAATTGCTAAAAACATTAGCACCTCAGGGGCAAGGCAGCAATTTTTTTTTTGAAGTATTGTGTGCTATTTATTTCCCTCATGGAAAAACTATTCCTGTGTGACAAAAATGAAAATTGTGTGATGTTAAAAGATGTATTTTTAAATACATGTTCAACTAGGATGGTCCCAATCTGCTTGTTTTTTTAAGAGGAAATGATATTTGTAAAGCTACTTCACTTCGTATGCCATGCGATTTTGTTTTCCTTCTACATTTGACAGCTTCACTGGCTTCAGTTTCTGTGAGTTTTGTTACAGTCAGATTAAATGTTTCACTGATCATTCTGGGAAAATTACCTGTACTGCTTTATAGACCACTGTTTCAAACAATTCTCACTAATTCAGCATTGAAATGTGCTCAAGACAGAGGCTTTCTAAAAACGTCCTAGAACCAGTGTTGGATTAGCTAAACGGAATTATGTTAAGCAGGGTCCTAGACTTGCGAGGCCTTGTAAACCCGTTGTATCGGCGGAGTCCTGGTACGTGTGGTGAGTCGTGGAGCTGGGGCCTTTCTGGTGGCTGCTCTTGCCTGGTCAGCAGGCGGCACTGCACGGGCCTTGATGTGTGGCCATCACTCATTTTAATCTTCCCTCAGAAGTCAGAATCGGAGAGAGAAATTTCATCTACTTGTCATGAATCTGTGATGAGTTGGGGTAATCCTAGGTTGTCTCCTAGTAGCAAAATGCCCGAAGAATATTAAGCAGCAGATGAGTAAGGGTAGCACTGACCTTGGCAGTTCATGCAGGTGCCAAAGCTAATCATTTTAACACCTCCTTATGATGCTGACTTGAATGTCAATTAAACTGTTTGTCAAAAAACTGAGACTGTCTCAGCTGTATCGGTTAGATCTGAGCCACATTGCTTAGTTCAAGAATTGGATCATCAGGATTTGAACCAAATTTGGGAACGGTTTTCACTGCAATTCGTTCCCTGCTAAGAATCTCATCTTGACTTGTTACACTGGGGTAGCATAGATTTCCTATTGCATTTTCCTAATTGTTTATGAACTAAGGCTATAGTTTTGTGGTCAGTTGATATCAAGACTGAACTATCTATCACTGTAAGTCTGCTCCCACTGCCCTTCTTGTGCCAGCAGTAGCGCTTCTGTGGCCATGCAGCTAGGAGCAGAAAAGAAAATCTGTACTCTCAGATGGACAAAGTGATATTCCAGCTACCCAGTGCTAGCACAGGGCAGGGCATGGGGTGAAGACAGGGCTATGAGCGAAGGAAAGCTTGCACCACCTCTTCTACCACAGTCAAAGAAATTGGACCCAAAGCACAGATAAATGATGGGCCTGTGTAGGGAGTATCAAAGCCTTTGCAGATCTTTTTCCACACTGTACTTAAACATTTTAGTTTAGTTAACGTTCTTTTTCTTAAAACTGGAATCGTGAAACTTCGGTTTTAATGTCTTGTATGCGAGTTCCCTGCTGGCAGACTTGCTTTTTGTTGGCCGTCTCTGTGTTTGTAGCTCTGTCTTAAGAGATAGTCAGCATGGCTGTCACAATTAGATTAATGACGTGGCTGTCAGAGTTTACCTTATTTAAATGTACATCAGGATTTCATCATGCCAAGGTGTTCACCTCCATTTCTACATGCACGTTCCTGAATTGCTTTATGCACAAATGACTTGGGATATTTAAATTTCTTGATATTTAAAGTTGGCCCTCTCTGAAACAGGCTAACCTTTAATTAAATGTTACCCTTTTCCTCCTCATTTGGCAAACTGCAGGGTTTTTAATGCAAACCTGATGTATCTTGCTTAGGTTAAGAACCAGCAAAGCCATGTAGAGCTATATTTTACAGTTTTCTGTAGGAAATGGAATTGCTATTCTGTGCCAAGCTTCTTGAGGTGTAAAAATGCCTTCAAGATAACTGGTATAGCTCCTTGTTCCTACAGCTATGTATGATCATGACCCGAGCCTTCATATGCTATCACAGGGTGTGAAGTCTCTACTTGGCTGAATAGATTTTTTAACTGTTTATGTACATCCTATTTCCAGGATGCTGTAGTGCATAAAATGCATGTGATTCCCAACGTGAGCCAATAAAGCAGTGCAAAAATGAAGAAAAGTTGAAAGGTACCAATCTGGGCTGAGTATTTTGGACCGAGCAGTCCACGAGTATTGACCAGAGAATCTGCTCTCAGCTGAGCTTTCCCTGAGCTGCCTCTGCAGAGGTCTTGCACAGTCTGCAGGTCTCAGGCATGTGCCTTCTGAAGCTTCTTGTACCTTTATTTTGCTTCATAGAGTTGTTGCTTTGTAAATGAGGTAGCGGTCAGCTGGGCTGCGACATTTCATCCCAGAAGCTCAAGAAGCTGTAGGAAAATGTAAAGCGTTTCATTACAGCCCTGGATCGCTAAAAGCTTTCAAGTAGAAAAGAACACAGAGCATGCTAAAAGTAGGGATTACATCACCTCCTGCTGAAAAACAGTTTCCAGGAAAATCTACAAATATTTCTACGACTTACTTTTAGTACATTAAAAAGTCTGGCGCTTTAATCTGATTGTGTCTTAGTTGTCGACCTACAGTGGGCTAGGTTTTATGCCTATTGCTTGTTTTATCTATGTTTTCATTTGATACTCCTGCATAGCATTGAAACATTTTTCCCTGTTCTGTAGACACTTCTATAAAAAAAAAAAAAAAAAGTCTGCTTGCAAGCTAAGAGACCAGGAGTGATAATGGTTTCTTAGGAAAAGGGTTATAAGGGAAGACTGCTTTAAATAAAACAGCAAAAAATCATAACCAGTTGCAACCACAAAGTTTGGAAAAGTGAGCTTAACTTAAAGATTGCCTTTTATAGAAGTAATGAAATAGTTCTACTCTGAAAGTAACAAAACTTCAGTAGGGATGGGATGATAGGTCAGATTTCTACAGCATATATTGTTTTAACCTAGCCAGATTTTCATGTTTAACTCATTGATTCCTGCCCGAACACTTTTTAAATTATTACTAGGCATCTGCTTTTTTTGTTGTTTAAATTAATAAATAAAAAAAAAAAAAAGAAAGAAAGAAAAGAAACCCAATGGTCCTTACTACTGCGTAACTAGTAATTTGTTTGCAAGGGTGAGTGCTATGTCAGATAGCAGCATTTTTCTTTAAGAGCACTACATCTGTACTTCTCAGCTCACTCAATAACATTGAGCCAAAACTGAAATTCATTTTTGCTTCCATTAACTGTATGGCTCTGAAGAGCTGGTGGGAGCATGTGGTTTTGTGCAGCTAAAGTAGACAGGACTTGATACATATTGTGAGTAAGCCTTCAGAGTGAAGGAGATGTCATTGTTGTTTCTTTTGAGAAATATCTTTGTGAAGAAAAATGAGAAAACTGAGACTGGCAGGTCAGAAAACATTACATCCTTTTACTTCTATTGATACCTGTAGACTGAGGTCTTCAGAGTTTAATTTCACTTGTATTACTGAATTCAACTCAATCTGAGCAGTGGAAACACGAGTAGCCAATTTCATTTTCACTATTGGGATTTCAGGCTGAAGCATGGTATTTTTGTTTGAACTGCAAAGGAAAACTGAATTAAGATGATCTTGGGAAAATCAGGCATACACTTCACAGCCTGCTGATGTGGATGGAGCATCACTCGCAATATATAAAGTTTGCACAAGTATTGTTGGAGCTTTAACTGCCCTACTTCTGTTGTAATTAAAGAGAAATATAATCTTTATTCTGTTTTGGTTTTGAAAAAGCTTTTCAAAGCCAAAGAGGAAGAAGGGGCAATCTTAAAGTAAAATGGTAGGTAAATTGGATGTAACAATGTTCTAATTCTTTGAAGGTGTAAGTCAACAGCTAAAACATCAGAGGGGCATGATTTAAGAGGTTCAGTCTTTCATGTAGTGCTTTTGGCTATAAAAAAACAGATAAAAGGATGGAACCCAAAATGAGTCACCTGGATGGGAAAGCAATGAAGCCCAAAACCTCTAGGAATACATGTTGTGAATACACATGGCATTGCTCCCATGTCCAGTAGTGGGCCTACCGGCATTTTTAGGGGAGCTTTTATTCTTACTGAGTGGTTGATGCTAGACTCAAGTCTGCTGCAGGTTGAAATTTCCAGACGTGTACATTGGAAGCTGGGTGTTATGAAATAGTCCCCCCACGTGGGATGCTGCAGTGCCTGTTACCACTGCTCTGCTGGTTCAGGCTGTGTAGGCACTCGGATGCTGGCAGCTGGGTTTCCCTAGCATACATTTAATCGTGTGCTATATGTGGTGGTGTGACTCACAATGACCTTGAGTACCAAGAGTTGAGTTGTGTTTATTAACTGGATCTAACTCTTTGGTGCCAGGAATCTAGTTTTTAGAGGAAGTGCTGAATTACGCAAATGTTCGTGGCGAATCGTGCCGGGTAGATCACTGCTCACGAAAAAGAATGGCTTTGGGTAATACAAGACACAAGCCAGGGAATATGGGATATTTGAGAAGTGCGGAGTCGAGTATGATTTCCAGAACCGGCTGCTTTATAAACATTTCAAAGCAGGGATTTGGGGTTTTAGCATCTGTCTTGTTCCTAAGGCTCTGTACAAACATGCTGAATTAGAGAGTTTTCACCTGTCTTCTCACCGGATTGACTCCACATCGTCTCATAAAAGAGTCTCGTTTGTAGTGACATGCTGTGCCTGTCTTTTTAGAAAATTCATGACTTCTTTATATCTATTTTGTGGAAAGTGTAACTTTTTCACTGATGACTTGTATAAATGTGTGTTACGAATGGAGAGATTCAAGCTTGAAAAGCATGTTTGCAGCCTCGTTATGGAATTTATAAATTTAACAGAGTAATATACAAGAGCATAACTATTTTCCTTAAGTAGAATGTATAACAATATATAATAATAAATTATTCTCCACGTAGTTCACCCACTATTTACAGTTTTACACAATTCAAACTGTGTGTTTACAGAAAGTTCAATAAATGTATATTTTGTACTATGTACAGATTCCTGGTCCCAAAGAAAATGTGTGAACTTAGTTTCTAACTTAACTTTTGAGATTGTATTTTTTTTTTCTTTTTGAATCAGTTGAACAAACTGCGTTATGCCTGTTGATGGTGGAGGCTTGCATTGGAGTAAATGGGAATTGGAAATATTTCTAATCTACGAAAGTGATTCCACTAAATAAAACGGGCAATTACATCGTGTGTGTGTATTTGAGTGGTATGCTATAAACCATTTTCACCTCTGTTTTGTCACTAAATTACAAACTTGATATCAGGCCTCATTCAGTTTTCTAATCCAAGTTCGTGCTATTAAAACAGACTGTTAAGTGCTTATTGTCATCATTGGATAGTCATAGAAGTAAAAATCCCCCTCTTCACTGATTTCCCCTCACATGTTGAAATTCCAAGATCAAGCAGCGAGCCTGGCTCCAGCTGTGACCGTCCCCAGAAGTCACCTGGTCGGGGGTTTTCAGGAGAGCTGGGGATGCCCAACCTTTGGAAAACCAAATCACACAGGAGCGAGATCTATTTGCATCTTCTGTCCTGACTCGGTACTGTAAAATGCAGGACAGAGTTCTGTAATTTGTAGAATTTAATGATGTTAAGGTATAAAATAAATCCTCACGCTCCTTTTAACCTGTATGATTTGGAGGGAGAATGATCTTATATATTATCAGTTCACATTTTGTCTTCCCTGAAGTCTTTATGCTAGCCAGAGAGCTGGTAGGATTCTGACACAGGCTGTACAAATTACAGCAGCGAAGGGGGTGGGAGGGTATCTGGTTATTGCCTGTTACCTGGAGCAATGCCTTTTCTACAGATTCAGCCCCATCCTTTTAAGGATTAAAAATCAAAACTAATGAGATTCTAGCAAAATGAGGGAATGTTTTCTGGGGATTAAAAAAATGAACTTGCTCTGATACAATTGGCTGTTAGCCTTGGTTCACAGTAATGGAGCAAACATGGGAGAGAGATAAGGTATGTCCCTTTGATTTCTAGCTCAAAGCTAGTGGAAAGAATGCTTTATCCCCTCTGATTAGAAATTTAAGTTTTAGTATATTTTTTCCTCAGAGGCAAAGAATAATATATGCCTCTGAATAGCAGTGTTGGTTCATGTAAATGCTTTTGTAATGCTTGTCAGGTAATAATAAATGTGAATGTCACCAGCAGTGTTTAGACAGATGTTTTCAGCTAACTTAAGTAGTTTGTTGTGGCTGAGTTCAATCAAACACCATCTACATGGGCTAATTTTAAAAAGGTAAAACACTGAAGCCCAGTTAAATCATTTAACTGCGATTTCACTTCAGCATTCTTAAAGAGTGCAAGGGCTCATTCTAATGCAACAAAGTTCTGAAGGAATGAAGGCGAGTTTGGCAAGGAGGAGCAAAGAGAGTTGTTTACAGCTGCTGTTACAAATAATTAGGACGATTATTCCTGCAAATATGCATACACAAGAGAGTGGGTGTTGAGTGAACTTGGTGCATGGCTCATATTTGTGGGCTTGCAGGACTGGAATCTCATCAGTATAACTAGAATGCATGTATTGATCAAATTACCTTGTACTCCTCAATTTTATTGGAAACTTTCCAATATTTATTATTTTTTTTACTAGAAGTGGGAGGACTTAAAATTAGCCACATCCTTTGAAAGATCCTACTTCTGAGCCACAGCTGTTGTGAAAAGGATTTATTTTCTTTGCCCCGTTAACAGCTTTCTGGTGTTCATCCTCGACTTTAAGAAAACTTTCGCTTGCCAGGATTTTAATCCTGTTATACAGGACTGCAAACTTTGCCATGACCTACAATGTAGACTTGTCCTGAATTAAGTTTGCTGAATCCACATTTAAACCAGCGAGTGTGCTTGTAGAATAGAGCAGATATGAATTAACTATGAATTAACCGCAAGTAGCTCTATGTCTTTTCTTGTCTTTACCCCTTAGTAGAAGAGTCTGTGCCAGTGCCTGGCGTCCAGCTGATTCTCCGAGGAAGTATCATCTTGCCGAAGCTGCACCAGGGCTCTTCCCCTTTCCTCTGAAATAGCACAACAGAGTTTGCTGCTGGCTCATGCATACCAAGTATAACTTGGTGGGAACAGTCACCTTCCTCTGAAACTTGAATCCTGTCCCATAAACTATAAAAAGGTACAGGATAAAACAGCTATGTTTAAATTACTTCAACAAAATAATTCAAAGGATGTCACAAGCATGAAAAAAAAAAAAAAGGCATTTAAGGAAACAAAATCTTTTTTGGTCTGTTTTTAAAATAACCTATGTCATCGCTAAACTAAGATCTAGATGGTAGGAATAGGATATTTGAACATGGCTGACCTCCAGGTCTTCTGTAGCTGTGCTTTTTCTGCATTTCCTACTTACCAAAATTACTCTTTCTAAAAAGCTAGAAGCTTTTCAGTAGTCCTTTAGAAGAGTAATAAATTACTTTTATAGTACCCACCCCGTCATGGGTGTAGTGGGAGTCTATTACTTAAAGAATATGAAGTAACACAATCAAATAAATCAATATTAAACCTAATATCTTTTACTTCATATTATAATTATGCTTAACAATGCATTTCAGATTTTTTTTTTCTGTCCTAGCAATTGTTTGTTTATTTAGGGTTTTTTAATGCTCACCTTCAGTTATCTTAGCTTGCTTGCCTATTCCAATTCCACCCTCTAATCTGTTGCTGTTGAATCCCAGTAATGGTCTGAAGACTGCCTGGATTTCAGGAACCAATTGCAGCAACAAAAACCTGAAGGCTGATTTTAGAAAACTTATACTGAAAATACTAATGATGAAATTTACAGAATGAATTAAAATAATGTCAATATTTAATTACAGAAATATATTACCTTAATGATTTTATACTCTTAAAACTTACAGGAGTTTCGATATAAAAATGCTTTATTTTTCTGTTAGGGAACATTAGTAGGTGGCCAGCCTAATAGGGCTGGGTCTTGCCCCATTTTCAAATGTTAAGCTGAGGGTGAGGGTCTTGATTTACCTGCACCAGAAAACCTCAGCATGGATGTGAGCTCAGCTAGAAGAAAACTGCTCCAGGCCACAGCCCAGCTTTTGTTATCTAATAGCTAATAACAAGCTTTCATATTAAAATTTGATAAGGGGCTGCACTCAGTTTATCACCGTGTTTCTAGGTAGACTGTAACCTTTAGCCTAATTTCGATATTCCCTATGTACACAAATCAGTTGGGTCTTGTTCTGCGGTCGGTTCTCGCTTTGTAGGCAGTGAAGTGCATTCCTTTCTGCCACCTCTCGCATACGCCTGATTCCTTTGATTTTTCTTCCTTAACCATCTCTTTTTGGCCTGAAGCTCACAGAGTATTCTGGAGAAGTCTGCAAATTCTCAAGGTGTTGCCATGTTCACCCTTGCATTTTGTACATTTTCTGCTGCAAGCAATAGTTTGTGCTTCCATTCTTTGACGCCTGCTCTGAGAGGGTTTGAAGCTTTTAGGTACACTGCTAAAAAACGAAACTCTTTCCATTTCTACAGACAGCTAATTCATGCTGTAGTGCGAATACCTTGTCTCAGCTCATCTGACAATGCTTAGACCCTTTGTCCATTTCCACCCAGTCTGCCCGGTGTTGGCAGTGTCCTGCAGTAGGCACTGACTGCTCAGTGCCAGCTGAAGCCAGCAAGATGCTCGCGTGCTTAAAAGTAAGCCTGGCCATATGTTTTCGTGGAGCTAAACCCACAATTCATTTCCCCTGCCGTTGCTATGGGGTTTTTTGAAAGAAGAAAGAAAGGAAAACACATTTGCGCAGTCTACATTAGCTAAGGAGAAGAAAATTAATGGAGCTACTTTTGACCCTTTTTTATTTTTTTGATTAACTCTTCAGTATTGCTTGACTTCAAAAGGTTTTGCACTGCTGCCTGGAACATGTTTGTTCATGTAGTGAACCAGTGCTGGTGTATCACGTTCTCCGTGTTACAAAAATGTAGGCTTTTGAGAATGTAATCCCCGTGCCCCAATTTTACCTGTTGTTAAGCATTACTTGTCTCCAAGTTTATGCCCAATTCCTTCATCTTTATTTCTTTTAAAATATTTGTATATGGTTAGCATAAATATCTTGCTTGTGGTCCAAGCACTGATGGATGGAGCAGACCCAACGCATGTCTGTGCACCTTCAACTTCTCTTGTTCTCCTGCTCTGTTAAGGATACCTGAAGCAGCTGTTGGAAGTCTCTTGCCAGTCATACCACAAGAATCACTTTTCTGTGTCTGCTGGAGCACTGCAAGTCTTAATATTGCCATTTATTTGCTCTCCAAATCACACTCAATGGTTTCCTCCAGTGTCTGAATGGTCTGCTCACTGGGAGCAAAGCCCTTCATTCTCGTGCCCTGGCTCTGGCTTGTACTGTCTGTGCAGAACAGCTTTAATTGAACAGGATTAGCAAATCCTGATGGGTGCAAGCATATATACAAAAAAAGGAAACATTGGCAACTGGATATACCAGACAAAGCTCACTCCCTTTCATCACTCCTAATTCTCCTGTGCTTCTAGCTAGAGAAAACCTTAAGACAAAGACACTGGGCACCCCGAGCCTTCAGGCCAGCTGTCTCTTTTGACATATATTTCATTAGGCAGTTGTAGTTCCTGAATTACACACGTTCTTTGTCTATTACATTGTGACCCCTAGCACAGCTGGTGATGTTTTTTTGAAGGGGAGGAGGAAGACCAGGGACCGTCTATTTTCATCTCGTGGAAATCAGATCTTTATGGAAAAAAGCCAATGTTTTCCTCATCTGGTCTGAGGAAGATCAGCTGGGTGAGACTGTTTCCTTAGGTCCCCTCTCGCCAGCCACCAAGCGGGTCTTGGGCCAGAAACCCTTACGAGTATTAGCTCAGAGGAGATTTAGCTGTTTTCCTCCTGATATGCATAGATAGGGTCATTGACTCCATGCAGCTGAAGGCCTTCTCTAATCGATTTTCAAAACCGTCTGAGGTCGTTGCATTCTGTGCCCTAAGGCATCCCAAGGATTTGTATATTGTGTGCTTTGACCTGATTCTTTTCTCCCCCCTCTCCCAGCATCCCGAAGTAGATTTGTGATGCTTTGTCGTCCCTCACAAGCTTCTGGAGGGGAGAGGGGGTAGTAGAGATTATATATATATATATATATATATATATATATATATATATATTTTTTTTTTTTTTTTTTTTTTTTTTTTTAATTCATGCC